GAAAGCCTAATTTGAGAAGATAATCCTGACACCTCGTTCGTGGGGATTTCTATCCCTACTTGAGACTGACACACTTCTCCAAATCCTTGGAAATGAAACAGAGATGATTTCCCATCACCCCTCCCACCTCTAAAGCAGCCTGTTCATAGTAATACATTTTAGAATCATGAAAATATCATCGCTGATGTACCTAGTAGCAAGGACAGAACGCTTAAGCATTGTAAGTACTATTGCAGTCCTACTTCTTCCTGTTTATCTTCTTTTTGAAAATAATCATTTTACTATGTTGTGGTGGGAAGCCATATGATGAAGTTATGCTTTTAACATTTTAAGTGTATAATAAATTTTGGTTGAGTATATGCACGGTGTTGTGCAATACATCTCTTATGGTAAGAACAGGTCATCTCTAACTACATTTTTTTATCTGCTTTTGTTTTGAGATGGGTCTCACTGTGTTGTCCAGGTTGGCCTAGACTCCTAGACTCAAGAAGTCCTCCTGTCTCAGCCTCTGGAGCTGGGACTGCTCGTACAGGGGAAGGATGGATCATCTCATAGTTAACAAAGGTAAGATACAGTATATTTAAGACATGTGGGAAGTACAGATAAAAAAGAAAAGCTACACCACTGTTGAGAAGAATTTACAAAGGAAAGACAACTTGGTAACAATCCCAACTCATTCACATAAATATAAAGATTTTGTGCAATTGCAATGGAAAGAATTTGTCTTGGAACTTCAAGCAACATACTTTTAAAATGAATATAGAAAAACTTGCCAATGCAAATGGCCAAGGAGACTTGGGAAAAAACACACACACACAAAAAAAAACAGAGCTGGTACAAGCACTAGCTGAGAGGTGCTCCTGGTGCCTGCTCCTGGGTTGCCAGACTTGTTTACACTCTTGGCACAGCGGGGTCCAGCCCTGCCTTGGCCCTCACCTGCCGCCAGGCTGGCTTTTCTCAGAGACCCACAACAGTGCCACGTGCCTGCTGCTGTCTCTGCTTGCTCAGCCCAGCCTCTTCAAGCCTGATCAAATCCCTGCTGCTTTTCTGCACTGATCCAAGTTCTCACTCTTCCAGGCAGTTTCCCAGGTGACTGGCTGTGTGCACATGTGTGCAGACGCGTTAGCTCATGTACTGGCTTTCGGGCTCAGCTATCAGATCCTCAGGGTCACCAACACACTGTAGCCAAGGAGCTCTGGAGCGAGCAGGCATCCCACCTCAGTGGCCTCCCCTAGCAGCTTCCTGTCAGCCTCTCCTTTCTTGTGCAGCAGTTCATTTAAATTGAAGCCACATGGCTGCAGGAACAGCATCGTACCTACTGAGGAATCAGCCTTGACCAAGCAGGCTCCCTGTCACCTACACCCATCTCACTTCATCCAATGGCTTGGGCTTGCTTTGCCCAGCCACTGCACAGAGCTGTCACCAGGAGGCCACACAGATCTAGGTTTCTGTCACAGCTCTAGCCTCCCCAACCTAGGACTCTGGGCACAGGGGCCTCATTCACAGAATGCAGGTTCTAAGAGAAGACTTGTGAAGATTAAAGTATAGAGCATTGCACATAGCGTGCAGTGGCTGCACTATGACCAGTACTGACCCAGGGCCACTTCAGGTGCCCTGTGTCTCAGCTTGTGCCTGCTGCCTTTGCATGGACACTCACGGATTTGCCCTGCTGCTAGGAGCATCACCTCTGCCCCAGCAGCTGTGCTTGTCTTCTAACTGTGCCCTGCCTGGGACCCCTTCCCCTGGCACCAGGACAGCTGTCCCTAGTGACCCAACTACTTCCTTATGTCTCCTAGTGTGTCTTTCCCCCCTTGCTACCAGCAATTTCAAGCCTGAGTCCAGGGTGCGTGTGTGTGTGTGTGTGTGTGTGTGTGTGTGTGTGTCCTTGTTGAATTCAGCACCTGTACACAAGTGCCTTGAGACAGCCCCATTACAGCATCTGGTGTGACATGAGTTCAGTGTGCCCAAGCTGGAGGAAGGTATCTACGTGTAAGTGAAAGCCACCTTACCGATCAGAGTGGATGACGGCACCAGATTTGGGGTCGATGACATGGACAATGACTCCGCGGTGGCCCCAGCTCCTTTCAAAAAAATAGCCTCCCTCCTCCATGCCCCCTGGGCGAAGAGTCTTGCTCAGAAATGTCCAGGATAGCTTCTTCTGCCCGTGCAGTTCCAGGGTGCCGCCCCTGCCCACACCGATGTACTTCAGCCCATAGTAAGGGTCTGGCTCAATGTCTTCGTCAGCCCTGCAAGAGAAAAGCTCCAAGCTGCAGGCACAGTACCTTGCTAGACATGGCCCTGAGCCCCACTGCACTGGTCCAGTGCAGCTGCCTGTGCTTTGGTGACTGCTTGGTAAATCCAGTACTGGCCACCTGGCCTCTCTAGCTCAGGCCAATGGGAGGCCCACGAGATCAGCTGAAAAACCTATGAGTTCGCAGGCTGCTGCCTCTCCTCATCAGGTCTAAGTCTTGCGGTCTGGTCCACAGCAGTAGAGGGGTCACTTGCACCAATGCTGCTAGACCTGCACATTCTTGGTCGCTAAGAACACTGCACAGCCAGAGGCAGCTGGCACATGAAGTTATCCTGTGCCCTGTCCATCACAACTTAGACACTCTGAGGCTCCACCAACCATGACATGCATGGGAGGTGGTGGCCAGGCTGGAGGGACCTTGGCAGTAGAGATGGGCACCAGGGACATGATAGACAAAATGCCTCATGGACTTCTCCAGCTTACCCCAGTCACTGAGTCTGCTGGTTTCCTGCCACTGTCTACCAGGACAGAACGATGTCTCCTGTCCTATGCTGGAAACTGACCCTCTTGCCCCCCCTCCCCCGCATTGCCTCCTCCCTCCAGATCCAAGAGCAGCATCTGCCACCCCAGGGGTAGGTAGGTTTTCCTACCTTCCATACAGAATGATGCTGAAATTGCCCTGGAATGGGCAGAGGGTGCTCCCAGCATGCAGTTCTCCTCCAGCGTCAATCAGGATGTGGCGGGTGCGCAGAACAATGGGCTCCTGGTGGTCCTTGATGATAAGCTTTCCTGAAGAGGAGGAAAGAGATGCTTAGGAACCCAGTGGGAGGGTAAAGTTGCAAGGAACGCTGGAAGACTCCCGGAACCTCCATGTCAGCCAAGCTCATGAAAAAGCACTTCTTCCAAAGGCTGCTTTGCTCACACTGACGGGTGATGACTCTTCTTTCTTCTCCACTTGGCAATGCACATGTAAAACCCATCTGGCTCACAGCCATCACTACGTCACTAACTAGTGACTAAATATCTGCAGATGAGAGAGCAGGACCTCTCAGGACACCAGTAAAGAGGTGCCTTGCTCTTTTTACCAAGAATGGGCCAGCCCCAGTCATTCTCAATTGCTCAAAGTTGATGGTTATCACAAAAACCCAGAGCCTCTGACTCAAACCCAAAGCATGTAACATTCAGTCCATTTAAGGACGCAGCAGCTTGCACCCTCCACGAGGCCCTCGGGAGGGAGGCACGGGCTTACCCCCCGCTGAGATGTTGATGGAGTGGACTGTAGCAGAGGAGGCAAGCAGCAGCATCCTGCCCTGGTTGATGTGTACACGGTGCTCGGGATCGTGGCCAGGGTTCCAGAGCTGAAGCTCAGGGTTCTGGTCAGGGCACTCAGCAGCTACTGCCAAAGATAAAGAGATATTACAGCTCTCGTCCACCAGCATCATCAAGCAAAGACTGACCACAAGGCACAAGGCAGTTTTACATCTTTCATGGATCTTGTCTGTACTAAAGCCAAAGGCAAGACCTTAGGGATCAGAGACACCCTGACCTAGGAGGCAGCAGCCCTGGGGTGTGGTCTTGCGCATCTTATTAGTTCTCCATGTGCCTATGAACAAGTCATTTCCCTTTCTTGGGTTCAGTGTCCCTTTCTTTTCTTTTCTTTTTTTTTTTTTTTTTTTGGTGGTACCAGGGATTGAACCCAGAACCTTGCCCTTGCCAGACAGGCACTTATTCCACTGAGTTATCTCCCAGCATCCCTTTAAAAGGTGAAGGTAGACCAGATGACCACTCAAGACCTTTCCCTGAAGTTGTACAGCCATGTACCCAGATTGCTTGAGTTTCAAGATGTTCTGTTCCCAGGGAAGCAGTGTTTACAGAAAAGAGGGAATAAGAACTCTTTCTGTTTTTGCATGAGAATTTGAATTTTGGTTCAATTTCTAGCTCTGTTCTTAAAAAGTTTTTTTTAAAAAAGATAGTTCTATATGGTTATCAAGCATCATAGCTTATAAGAAAAGTGACTCTGGACTGGCAAATGGCCCTTAAACTGGGAGGAGCACTGAACACTTTATTTTCATGTCTGCTGGAGATGCTATGCTGTGGTGTACCTGCACATACAGAATTTCACAATCAGACCTGGGCCTTGGAAGCACCCTGAGATGTGCCGTCTAAGAAGCTGCTGTGAGAGATGCTGGCTCTGCTGGGGCATGACGCTAGCATGCTAGGGTGGCTCCAGTGACAGGCTCATTCCCCCACCCTTCCTGAGCTGCCACTTGGGAGACCAAAGAGCACACTGGATGCTATGCGAACCCCGCCACCCTTCTGCTGGGGTCTGTCCTTCCCTATTGGAGTTCAATGCAGAGGTGGCAGGTGGCTGCCTAGAAGGCTCCAGCGTAGCTTCAGCTGTCCTCTGCCTTGCCAGAAGCATCTGCACTTCCATGAGGCTAAAGAAACTGTGCCCCAGCAGTGTGGCCAGTGGGGGGGGGGCACATACGGTGCTTGTCTTAAGACCTGGAGGAAGCTCCATAGATAGCCAGGGGGACCCAGCAGGGAGGACAGGCAATGCAAGGTGAGCATGGCTGGCTCACTCTCCCATCTTCTTTATCTAGGAGATTTTAGGATAACCTAGTGGGGCAGTGTCTTAATCACTATCTTCATCACGGGACATAATACCTGATTCTTGCAACTTAAAGGAGGGGAGATTTATTCTGGCTCATGTCTCAGAAGTTTCATTCCTTGCTTGGTGGGTGGCAGAATAGAAGGGCTGGGTGTAGAAAAAATACTCCCTGATGGAAGTCAAGAAGAGAGAAAAGGGGAACCTGGGTGAGACACTCTCTCCCAGGTCATGTCCCCAGTGACCCACCTCTTCCAAGTAGGCTCCAATCCTAACAGCACATGTAGTTATAAGCTCATCAGTAGACTAATACATTGATTAGTTCAGCACCCTGTGATCCAGTCACCTTCCACAAGTCCCTGCCTCTGAGCACATGAGGACAGCTAGGCAGAATACACACAGGTAGGTGGTGGGCAGTGAGCCCACGGCAAGGCCAGGAGGAGATGGTGCAGGAAGGCACAGAAGCCAGGCCCACAACACGAGGCTGAGTAAGGGGCAGAGGAGAGATTGGGCTCTGCAGGTACAAGGGCAACAAGAGCCACACACTTCCCAACAATGCTCTGGTGTCTCTACCTTTCTTTAGTTGTGGGAATATCACGTTACTCACATATCTAAGAATCTCAGGGGGACCAGAAGGGTGTCACCCCTTTATCTAGCTCCACCCCACCATCAGGGTCCCCCAAGTCCACAATAGCTCATGATTTCTGCCCATGTGAAGCAAAGCATGGTGTAGACACTCTGTGTGGCTTCAGAGTACCACATCTTCCTTCCTCCTCTGCCACAGTGGTTGCTGAGCCCTATGCCCATCTTTTATGTTTTAGATCATGAATGTCCCCCAAATGTCTCATGTACTCATATACGGGGCTTTGGGGAAGTAATTGATTATGGGAACTCTACCGCTGACTTGCCGAGGGGAGATGGAATCTGGGCGGAAAAGGTGACCACTGGGATCATGATCTGGAAAGGCCAGGCTCTCTTCCCAGTTCCTCCCCCTCACTTTCTGCTTCCAACATGAGGTGAGCAGCCCTCCTCCACCATGCCCTCCCACCATGCTGCCTAGCTCGGGGCCAGATGCGAGCCAAAATCAACCTCTCCTTCTTTAGACTGCGAGTGTTTGTAGGAGGCAGAGATTAAGGATTGTAAATTAATCAACCTGGTGGAGGAAATTTCAAGACAGCTCAATATTCACGCTGTAGCATGGACACTACTTGCTGCTCTTAGCCAGGTTTATACTGAAAGGAGCAAAAAGTTCATTTGAAATAGTTTTGTTTCCCCAGAAAGAAAGGAGCTACAGAGTTTGGGCAGAGGATACTTTGGTAGCCAAAAAAATTAGCATTAAAAATAAGCCAAGGGTTTTGCGTCAGTACAATAGGCAGGATGCCTTGCCAGCACTGCAAGAATCAGCAAGAAGCTTCATTTTGCAGACTTAAGGGTGCAAAGCTATAAAGCTTTCATTTAAAATCTTCAGGGAGCCCAGCGCATTCAGTACCAACTAGAAAAGAATTTCCTGGAGTTCTTCCATGCAAGCCCTTGGAGGCTTCTGAGACTGTATCCAAGGGAGCCCAGCCGTTGCTTAAGCTGGCAGCAGACCTTGGCATCATCCATGTGGTACTTGTTGTATAGGCATGCAGAATAGGAGAGTTGTGGGGCCAGAAAGGCTTTCGTCCAGATTTCAGAAACAAGCCCAGGAGGCTAGGCTAGGCAGTGTGCCCTGAGAGGGCAGTGCACAAAGCTCTAAAAGTGAAGCCAAAAATGCATGGAGACCCCAGGAAGTCGGAGAAGCTAAGAACAGGAGGTGTCTGCCGAGGAAGGCCTCAGGCAGCACACAGGGCCAGCCCAAGCATGGGAGACTCAGCAGGTAGTGCAGTAAGGGCGGGGCTTCCCAAGGCCGTTAGCACTCACATCTCATCACCACTGCTTGCCTTGGGTGGCGGACACTGAATAAAAGGAGTCAATGGTTTCCCTGCTTGGTTTTGGCTTTAGTCTTGTCCCATCCCTTTCTATTCTCCTGTTCCTTTTTGGGATGGGAATACTTATCCCATGTATGCTGGAAATGTTAAACTTTTATTTTGGCAGGGGATCACAGCTAAGAGTTGCCTTGAGTCTCAGAGGAGACTTTGGGACTTGGACTTTTCAGCAATGCTGCAACTGTTGAAACTTTGGTGATACCTAGAGATGGACTAAATGCATTTTGAATAAAGAGATGCACACAAATTTGGGGGGAGTAGAGACAAAGTATTATGATTTAGATCAAGCATGCCTCCCAAAGGGCTCACGTGCTCACAGGTGGGGCTTTGGGGAGGTGCCTGAGTCAAGGGGGTGACCTAACTGACTTGCTGCCAGCAGGCAGGGCCTGATCAGAAAAGTCGGTCACCAGGGGCAGGACTGGAAGGACTCATCGCCGTCCCGGGTGCCTCCCTGCATTCTCTGCTTCCTGGCCACCAGGACACGAGCAGCTCTCCTCTGCCTAGACCTTTCTACCATGCTATCTCTGCCTTGGAATCAGCTGCCATGGACTGTCATTGTGAGCTAAAATATGCTCTCCACTTTCAAATTGTGGGTGTTGGGCACTGGCTCTCAGCAATGAGAAAGTCACTAAGACACCATTCTCTCCCCAACCCCACTGGATAGCAGGCCCCTTTCCTATCCTACCTCCCAGGATTACTGGAGCCCTCCTGACACTCCACCCACCTTGCTGTGCTCCAGAGAACAGGGTTGGGATGTCTTTCATTAAGAAGAGAACTCTAGGGCTGGGAGATGGCTCAGTGAAATAAGCGCTTCCCTAGCAAGCGCAAGGGTCTGAGTTCAATCCCTAGTTCTGCCAAAAAAAAAAAAAAAAAGAAGAAGAAGAAGAAGAAGAAGAAAACTCTACATTTTGGGAGGATTTCACTAAAGCAGCTCTTCCAGTCATCACAAGCTACAAGAGCTCAGTAGTGGCAATATAATGAAGCATGGGGGACTTCTCATGCTCACAGAAGGCCGCAGTGCCTACCAGCAAGGCCTAGCTGGCCCAGGGGGCTCTCACTTGGGTACTGGACTGCCCAGTCTGCTTATGTGAGTGGGGGGCTTGAAGCCGTCTCTGTTCTGCACACCTGGACAGTCTCCAGGGAAGCCCTCCCAGCCATGTGAGGGATGGATATGGCTGAGTAAGCCCAGAGCCCCAGGCACGGAGCCCTGAGCAACCTGAAGGGGTCATTCTCACTCCTCAGGCCTCCCACCCGCAAGCCAGTCAGCTGGTGTCCATTGTGCTTCTTAGTGCAGGAGCTGGCAGAAGACTGAATCTGGCTGTGGAGACAATGGACTTGCTGGCCACAAGGTGCCCCTGACCCTGCAGAGGTCCCAGCCATGGCTATGACTGGCCCAGAGCAGTACTGCTCTGTGTGACTGGTTGCCGTACTCTGAGGTCACCCAACCCAGCCTCAGTGGGTTTTTGCATACACATCAGTGAGGGGCTGAACAGGCCAACGCCTTCACTGAAGTGTTACCATGGTAACCACTCCAGTTTCCTAGGAGGGGCTACGTGGTCCCAACAACATGGGGCATGGATGGCAAGGGCCTTTTCTGAATCCCATGATACCAGTGAAGGACTCAGACAGGGGGGACAGGGCCCAGACAAAGAAGAAAAGGTGTGTCTTGGGGGGGGGTGTATGTGTGTGTGTGTGTTTTGTCTAAACCCTCAGAGTGGTTATGGAAAGATTTAAATTAGATATTAACATTTAACAACTAGGGAGCTTTTATATAAAAAATCTACATTTCTGTTCCTCTTAAAAATTCACATGCCATTCCACAGCGCAGCAGTTTCAGAACCAGGAAGTGAGAGGTGCTTTGAAGGGGTCATCTGCCTTGGGGACACCAGACCCTCCCCACCCACCCCACAGACTGGGCTTCAAACCCGACTCTACAACCTATCATCCTGCCATGAGGTGAGCCATGCCTGGGATCACAGTGTCGGCCAAAGCTGGGCCTGGGCGAAGTCCCTGGCTGTACCCTGTGACTGCTTCTCCAGCCCTCTTCCCTACAGCCCAGATGGCCGCTGTGTCTCCCACAAGAGACAGCTGGCTCCACTGCCCCTGGGGGCTCACCTTTGGACATGGCCCCGGGGAAGAGAACCAAGATGAGCCACACTGCGACCAGCACAGCCTTGAGGGGCGCGTCCTGCCTCTGCCCCGCCACAGCTCCCATCCTGACAAGAGTATGTCCTGAAACCAAGCACAGGTGTCAGGCGAGGAGACAGAGAGACATAGAGACACAGACGGACAGACAGACACAGACAGACAGACAGACAGACAGACACACACACACACACACACACACACACACACGTGGCAGGACAGTGCACTCCAGCCAGCCCACAGCAGTCCTTAGCACCATGATCCAGAGCTGGGCAAGTCAGGGCACAAAAACCCTGCCATCTCCTGTCCTGTCCCAAGGTTCAGACACAGCAGGTACCCAAGGCCACTCCCCTGAACAATGGATGAAGCCCTCCCGTAAGAAAACAAGTAGAACAAAAACAACTGGGGTAAACATGGCTGGAAATGAGATGCTACCAGTTTGCTGTGTGATCTTGGCAGACTTGCTTCACCTCTCTGGGTTTTGGAGCCCAAAGGGCGAAAGGAAAAGGTGGACTGATTTCTAACCTTTACACCTCTGATCTATACTTCGAAAACCAGTTCCGGAGGATTGCATCGAAAACCTAAATGTAAATGCCTATGCACTATAAAACATCTTTCTAGTAACTGCCCAAGAGGAAGGTGGGAACAAAGGTGGCAAATCGCCCCTCAATATCCACTTTGTCCCCCTTCTGTAGTGACAGATATCCTGGCGTTCATCTACACACACACCACCAAGAATGAAGCCCATCCTCCTCTGTGTGATCTTAGGAGAGTTTCATAAGTAGAGCTGAAGCGCTGGAGATGTGTAAACTGCAGGAAATACTTTATAGGAAGGGTGGAAGGGTTTTGTTTCCTCCTTCCTGCTGGCTGGAATGAAGGCGTGATAGCTGGATTTTTCAGCAGCTATCTTGGGCCATGTGGTCAGAGCCATGAGCAGAGAGTGGCAAAGCCTGGTCCCCATGAGGCATGGAAGAGCCCTAGAGGATGGGCTTACTTGTACATTTCAAGAGACTTAAAGCCTTATTACATTCAGCTTCTTTTTTATAAAAGCCACTGTTTGTTCCTCTTTGCATATAATGAAGTAGGGCTCACAGACGCTACCCTTAAGCCAGCTCAGTAGCGAATCTGATCACCCCACCTCCCCTCACAGCAGGGCTCTGTATGTGCTAAGTGAGCCGGCGCAGGCAGAGGGGTCCCAGAGGGGTCCCAGAGGAGCTCTCGGGCCCCACCTGGTCCCCACAGGTGCACCGGCAGGGAGGGGGGTGGTGCTCCCTTACAGGCACCTGCTTGCCCAGACCAATTCCCAGAACAACAGGCCTTTTCTAGTGCTTTAGATGGCCATGAGGTCACGCAGTGTGGCCCTAGGGAGCGGCGCCTTGCCCACTCCCAGGAAGAAAGCTCCATTTCACACACTCCACAGCAGAAAGGAGGGGACAGTGGGACATGGGTGCTCTGTGGTCCTGGGGCAAAGTGAGAGCCAACTCTTCATAGTCTCCAAAGGGGGTTTGTCCTCCACTGCCATGAAGCCTGGGTCCTTGGCCCTCTCTGCAGAGGATGGGCCGGCAGTGACTCAATGTAGGGACTAGAGGTGGCACCATGTGGCTCTTTCAGGCCAGCACCCTCTGTGAGACACAGGCTTTGTGGCCTCACCCTTCCCGTGGACAGAGGGAGAGCGGTAACCTCATCTGATGAGGTCACGGGTCCTTTCAAAAGCAGAACGATAAGGACTTCCTTTCTGGGTAGATGTGAAGACAGCTGTGTGTAGGGGGTGTCTTGACCCCTTCCCCTAACATGAGTGTGGCTCCCATGAGTCAGAGCCAACTGTCCAAGTTGTAGAAGGCAGAGGTGGCCCTGCCCGGAACCCTCGATGACAGTGACAATGCTTTGCTGCCCGTGGCTCCCCCTGCCTGAGCACATGTGCCCTGCAGTGCATGCTATGCCTGAGAATCCCAGGTGGTTCCCTGAGTCCTCCCGAGACTTGTCCATCAAGGGAAGGTGGCGTTCTCCCCTAGGCACTGAGAGTTTGCTGGTGGTGGAGCTGGGTCCAGTTTCTCAACTGGTACGATACTGTGGAAACAGCTCTGGCTGCACAGTTCTCAGAGCGGCATGTTGTCACAATGCCAGAGCCTGTGCAGGACTTGGAGACACAGACTTGGAAACACAGTCCTGATGGTCCTTGAAGGGGATGGTGAATGAGCATGGCAGAGCCAGTGTGAAGGGAAACGCAGACACTCCCAGGCCAGCGCTTGTGGTGAGTTCCCCCAGGAGCCAGCCCAAGTTTCCCAGAAGTTCGGCATCCCCAAGTCCTGCTGCCCCTGGCCTGGGTCTGTGAGCCTCCCAGGCCCAAGGTGACAAGGCAGAATCGGGAGTGGAGGTATTGCTTCCTAGTCTCTAGCTTCTCCTTGGCTCCCAGGGGCTTGGATTCTGTTAATTCTGCGGAGAGCAGCCTGGAGTCCCCACAGGTTACCTGCGGAGGAGAAGAGATGAGATGATGAGCAGAGTGGTACAGAGACCTCCAGGGAGGCCGGCCACAGCACCCATGGGAGCCCACTCAAGACATCACAGGCTGGAATGGGAATTCCCAGCCTCAGACCTCCAGGCCAGTACTCAGCGGGACAAGCCAGGACTGGATGCTTCAGAAACAGAGGAGGCTGGGAGGTCAGGCAGCTGTGTGGCTGGGCAGGAGCTGAGGCCTTTGGGGCTCTGCTATGGTTTGTGTAGTGTCCCCCAAAACCTCACGCAGTCATGGGGTGGCTCCTAGAGTTTGTGATTGATTATTGTGCATTTGGATGCTGCACCTGCCCTGGGGCAGGTAATCTGCATTACAGTATAAGGAGGGAAGAGAGGCTGGCTAGCTGCCAGAGCTGCTGCCACTCCCTTTCTCTCTGGCTCTTTGCTGCCATGAAAGGTTGCCCTCTGCCATGGGCCACTCTGCCTTGGAGCCAGCTGAGTATGGACTGGAACCTCCAGTAACTGTAAGCTAAATAAACCTTTCCTTCCCTCATTTTGAATGTGGGGTATTTGTTCCAGCAATGAGAGAAGAGTAACTTAGACAAGCTCCTGGGGTGAGAGGCAAAGGGACCACCCTCATGCTCTAGAAATGCATAAAGGAAACTGAGGCAGGCTCAGTCCACACCGAGTGTGGCAGCAGCAGACCCCTGAACCTCAGTCCCAGCCTGGGCTTGAACTCCAACATGGGCTTTCATCAGCTGTGTGACCTATGGGTCCCTTGGTCTCTCTGGGTCTTGGTCTCCTTGTCATTACCATGGTACAGCAACACTACTTGAGATCAAGAGTTAGTGCTGTGAGACCCAGGGGCTTCTGCTGGCTCAAAACCCCGCTCCACAGGGCCTGGTCTCCCTGTCCCATCCTGTGGGAGGTGCCGGAAGGACTGGTTGCAAACCCTGCCTGGAATATACATCTTACAGGGCAGGTGCACAAGAGCATGCTCCAGAACCCTTGCCCGCTGTCCCGCTGGGCAAACGGGGGAGAAGAGAGAACCACTAACCAGATGTTATCCGGACCCTCTCCCTCTGAAGCACTCAGCAGTGTTGAGGGGAGAGATCTGCTCTGAGTCAGATGAATCTGGACACTGTCTTTACATGCAAACCTGTGGTTTAGGTCACTTTCTTCCTGCTAAGAAGTGGAAGCCTTTAAAACCAAACACAACCTTGGGAATAGCATTGGGCACAGTCTGATTTACTCTTCCCTGCCCTGTGTGGTTATGGGTCTTTCCTGGGCTGAACTGTGAGCCCCCAAACTCCCTGCTCAAGCCCTGGTTACCCAGAACCTCAGTCTGAGACTATTTGAAATAGGAACTTTAAAGATGTAATGAAGGTAAGATGGAATCATACAGCTAGGTCCTAACCCAGGGTGATGGTGTCTTCCTGGAGCTGGTGTCCAGGCAGTACACAGTGCTTTCTTAGGACAGCCTGAAGCTACAGGCTAGACAAGAGCTCCGGAAGGCCCATGGGTGCAGCTGCGAGGTGGTAGGGCTTTTCAGGGCCAAGGCCCTGCATTTGCTTTGCATTTGCTTAAGCCAAAGCCTGCTGGGAGATCTCAGGTCTCAGGGAGTATTCCTGCAAGGGGATTGTGGGACATCACCTCCTGCCACACCTGGAAAGGAGCAAGTGCCTTTTACTCCTCCTCTTCCTCCTCCTTATTCTCCTGCCATTGTGTGCTGTCTCATCACAGACACAAAAGCAACTGACCATAGACAGAAACCCCTGAAGTGGGGCCCAAACAAGCCCTTTCTCTGCACCAGTTGCCCAGATGGGGAAATGGGGCCACGAGGCTAAGGTTGAATCCTTAACAGGTGGCAAAGTCCAGAACCTGCTTCTCCAGACTCATGTGTCTAATTCCTAATCACTAAACCACTTGCAATGCAACCACAGGGTCTTAGATACAAGCGCTGGTAGGAATGTGAGAAACCCAGCCAGCGGGCTCCGTACTGTGCACACATGGAGTGACTTCAGGACAGCTGGCCACACTGCAGATTCTGAGTCTGCAGGCTTGGGGTGGGGCCGAGGCTCTGCCGAGGGTCACAGGGCTACTTGGTGGCTGTCTGGATTTCAATCCAGATGGTACAGCTCTGAAAACTGGGCACAATAGCCGCCCTGCCCACCACCTCTTTCTCCAGGTAGAGTGAGTGTTCGATCCAAGCCATCTCTGTGCTCCTTGTAGGCAAGGGGCGACTGAAATCAAGCAGGAGTGCAGGTGAAGGGAATGCAGGCCAGACCCTCCCCAGCTCTCTCGTGGTCGCGGAAGCCTAGTGTCACCCCTTCCATAAGAACAGGGTTTCTGTCTAGTGAAACCTCCAAATCCCTGTTAAGGCTCCTGGAGGCCCAACAGGGCTGCTGAGACTTCACTGGCCCAGAAGGGAGAGCCCCTGCACCGACAGCAGTGCGGAGCCCTCCAATGGGCTTGGCTGGAGCCCGCCCTCCCCTCCAAAGTCAGGCAGGGCAGCAAACCACATCCATTCCCTCCATCTGTCTCCTGTCCATCCCCTGGCTAGGAAATGCAACTCTCTGGTCTCCTGATGCTGAAGTACCGCTCAGGGAGGAGAAGGAGGGACACAGCGTGGCTCCAACCCCCCTCTGACGTCCCAGGTAGACCTGGGAGTAGGCCGAGCCCTGGGGAGGGCCCAGACACTGCGCCAGCCTTGTGGCCACCTCTCACAGGATTCGTGGAATCCCAGAAGTAAGGACAACCCTTGCTCCTCAGAGAGAAGCACTTGGAAAATGTTTCTACAAACTGAGCACCTCCGGTGGGAAGCACCTGCTCCAGCCCAGAACTCGCACAGCTATAAAGCCCTGGACACAGTCTGCAGTCGGGTGTCTTCTACTTCCTAAAGGCAAAGCAACTTGTGGTGTAGTCTCAGGCTCACCAGAGTGTGGCTGACAGGAAGGAGACACCTACACACACTGCACAGCCAGCACGCCAGCCCCCGAGGGAAACGTTAAAACACAGGTTCCCACTCGCAGCTCTGGGCCAGGGCCCGGCGCTGCACCTCCTGCAAGAGCTCATGTGCTGTGCAACCAGGACCACGATCCACTCACCCTCTTCTGTCCACAAACACAGAGTCTGCGGCCCACAGAGCAGGAGAGAGTTGCTACATTGATCAGGAGCGAGAAAACGCAAACCTGAACGGATACGAGAGTGGAGTCACTGTGCCTGCGAAGTACGGGACATGTGGCGTTTTCTCAGTCAGCCTGCTTGCTCGGGACGGGGTAGGGGAAGGGGACTTGGTGCACACATTGTTGTTTCTGTTTAAGACCCCACCACACGTCAGAGTTTGGGTAGTAAACACATGGCTCGGGTACCCTATCTCTATTCATAATTATCTTTCCCCCAAATACACTTCCTTTGATATGGGGAATTCCCGCAGGAGCCACCTGCAGAGCCAGAGAAGAGATACTACAGTTCCCCTAATAACAGAAATCCCCATCACGGACCTGCCTTGTGCCCTAGCAGAGCGCAGGGAATCCTGTCCAATCCTGTTTATCACCAAGTCCAAACCCCTTATCACACCACGAGATCAGCCATGGCTTTGGAGGCTTCAGAGCCTTTGCCAACGCAGCTGGGGAAGGTGGTTCTGCAACCGTCCTTCCTGCTACCCATCCAATGCCCCTGGCCTTGGCAGCCACAGGGGCCCCCATGCTAGTGCTGTGGAAAAGGAAGAGAAGATTGCATTCAGGGGCCCCTGCTCCGCTCCAGGTGCCAGGCCCCAAAGTCTAAAAGATGGGAACAACTCTACTGGCCAGCCATGGACTTCCTAACAACCTCGCTTGCAGTTAAACCCAGAAGTAAGGAATTCAGATCCCAGACAGATCTAAGCTGCCTTTGTTCAGAGCCAGGCTGCCTACATGGCAGCCCCTGGGCAGGCACAGGCACTAGGTCAGCTTAACTAAAACAAGGCAAAACTAAACTTGATACATTCCAAGGAAGCCATAGCTTGGCTGCCACCCTGGGCAGCAGACCTGGGTGACCTCTACCACCTAGTCACTGCTACTGGTCAGATCGGATTTGGAGCTCCAGTGCTCAGTGGTTTAGAAAACGCCTACTAGAGCTGCACATCTGCTCAGACCCATGGTCCCTATGGCGTTGACCTGGGCAGCAGGGTTGGCACTGCTGGTGAGATTGCAGAGCATAGCTCCGCCGGACTGTGACCCCCACTGGGTCAGAAACTCTAGCAGCGGGCCAGCAATCTGCTTGGACAAGCCCTCTCAGGGATACTGAGGCTCTCTGTGGGCAGGACAATGTCCCCACAGCCTGTCCAAAGTCTTTCCATGGCCTTTCATCACACCCAATCTGCCACTCATTCAGGGCTTCTCTGACATCCCTCTACCCAACTCCAGACTCAGCCTTGATTGTCCACCTGCTACTGCCTTGATATAGGGTGCAGAGTGGGGGGAACCCCAGAAGTCACCTCCAGCCTCCCTGTGAAAGCGGCATCCCCCCATCATGAGAGGGTTCTCTGTGCTCCGGTACATGTGAAATGCCACCCAGAGGGAACTATGTAGCACACGGCCAGGGGGCCCACTCAGCCTCCAGCCCAGGGTTTTGTCCTCAGGGCACCACCATGGCATTCTGATAACCCATTCCTGGGAGCCTCGTCTTCCTTCCTGATGGGGGTACTTGTCTGCCATCCCATGTCATCAGATGGGTGAGAGGCTACATTATCTTGCCTGGAGCAGGTCCTCAGCATCCTCACAGGTCAGTGTATGTGAGTAGATATTCGGAAACAGCAGCTGTCACCTAACTTCAAGACAAGCTGGTTCTGGCTTCCCCAGGCATTGTCCATGGAAGGCAACAGGGCAGCGGGGCATGATGCCAAGAGCATCAGATGGCAGAATTCAGACTTGCGAGAAAGGTGAGTACCTCTCCAAGACAGCTGGCCCTTGGCACTGCCCTGGGTGGCCACTGGGTCATACATACCCCAGCTGGTCCTGTGCACTCTGCCAGCTC